CGGGGCTGTGTCTCACCTGCAGGCCGGCAGGGGGCACCCACGAGACGCCGATGCTCTTGCGCTGCCCGCGCTCCAGCGCTCCCGCGGGGCCGGGCTCCAGCGCCAGCCCCGCCCGCTCCAGCTCCGCCACCGGCTCCAGCCTGAACTCCACGGCCTGGAACGGACACACGGCACGGACAGGGCATGGTCAGACCGCGGTGACTGTGAGCTGCTCCTGAAAACATCGCCTGTGCCCCCCGAAACTGCAGCTAGGCACTGTGACATGCACCCTGTCGCAAAATACTCAATTAAAACAACCCTAACCCTAACCCAAACCCTAACCTGAACCCTAACCCTAACCCTAACCTTAATCCTAACCCTAACCGTAACTCTAATCCTAACCCTAACCCTAACCTGAACTCTAACCCTAACTCTAGCCCTAACCCTAACTCTAATTCAGTTCTGGGCTCAAAACTCTCATGACTGGGGAAGCAAACTGCTAAATGAAGTTTGTTGTTGGCTTGGTAGGATAATGCTAATTCCTTATATTAGCCCCCGACAAATAATCTTTTCAAACAGTAATAGTATTATAATGTAAAATTTAGCAGAAACCCTGAAAGCTGTGTTTTTAAATTTGTGGATTTTGGACGGAGGGAACGAGCAGCCCTTTGCACACTGTCAGTATCCCATAGAGCAGCTGGCACAAAGCTGCAGGTTTGATTTCTCTCACCTTCTTGGCTTCCAGCAGACGAGTTTGCATGGCCCCGACTGTGATCTCTGCCCTGGCTGGCTCTGCTGAGCCCTCCACGTACTCCAGGAGCAGGAGAAGGGATCTCACAGRTTCTTTTGGCTCTAAACAAACAGCAACCAAGTCAACTTTGAGACACTCAAAACTGAGCCACTGGCGGTTTGGAACCAGCACAAATTGCACCAGGATGCTTCAAAACAAAAGTCATGTGGCAGACTCAGGAGTTTGAGTTTGCAGGCACAGATAAAGAGATCCTTCTCACAGAGTTAGGGAGGAATTAAAGAAAAGGAGGGTTTGGGTAATTTGCAATTGCAAAGCGCAGTTGTTACTTGTTTATCAAGTTCCAGGCTTGTTTTCTAGCCCATGGCACACACCTCTGTGTATTTTATTCTTACTCTTGTGTGTTTTGACTTTATTTACAGCTTAAGAGGTGTTGTTTACATCCTGGCTCTGAACACAGATCCTGCCCCAAGAAATTAAGAGTAACTTCAAACCCCTGAAAGTTTCGTTAACAGGACAAACAGGAGAATCCAGAATATGTGATTATATATGAAATAATTTCCTAAACATTTAATACACCTCAGATAAGTGGCAGAAAGCAAATGCTTTACTTTGTAGTTGTATTACATTATAATATTTTTTTTTTGCCAGTAAGTTGCAGAGGTGCAAGATCACCATTAAAGACAAAACTGTATAAAAATGAAGAGAGAAACTTCCCTTAAGAGAAAGTTTCCTGCATTTTTTTGTGTGTTATAGGCTGTACCATAATGCTTATTTGTTCTGATTCTGGAAAAAATTGCCTTTAATTTCCATTTCCTTAAAGGAAGAGGAACATTCCCATGTTTTATCCCTCCCTGTCCCATAACAAGCAGTGCTGGCACTTTACCTTTATTCGGTGCTCCCTGCGGAGATGTCACAGCCAAGGACTCCACGGGCACGTCCAGGGGAACTCCTCCCTCCACAAACATGGGCACATCCCGGGCTGCTCCCTTCAGGAGGATCTCATGGGCTGTTTGCTGTGAGACACAAAGCTCAGGATGCAGGTGACAACTCAGGACACTGAGTGTTCCCAGTGTTTCCCAGCAGCACCAGGAAATGGTGCCATCACCTCCTGTGATCCTGGGATCGAATGCAGGAGTGCTGCACCTGCCCCTGGTCTTGCCCACTCTGCTACTTCTGTTTTAACAGCCTTTAACATTCCTGGGAAATGTGCCTCAGGAGGGCACTGCACAAACTATTTCAAGAGAGGCAAAACTTCTCTGCTGCCAATCGGGTAAAGTTTGTGAGTCAGGACCAGTCTCCTCTGTTCAGTTTATCCCGATGTGCATCCCTAACTGCAATCCCAAAGCCTGCGAGGAGAGGATCAGCCCCTGCTCAGCCGCATCCCCGTTTGCAGTGCTGCTGTTGGGCATTAGTGGTCACTCTGCACCAACTTTTGGTGCCCTGGCAGGTGCCCAGGGCTGCCCGTGG